TTGAAATGCTTAGTTCTAAGTTCATGTCCTATTATTCAGTCGTCTGTTATTTACATCATATGTACAAGATGTTGAAACTTTTTTGAAACACTTGTATATTAAGATTATAATTATTATTATTGTTCTTAGAATTCAGTTCAGTTCTTAATATGTCGTACCATTTCGATAGTGCTATTTTCGCACTATTATTTTTTCATTTTTATGGTGAATTCTTTCACCCCCATTTACACAGAGGGGACTTATAAGCTTCTTCCTTCTCTAAACCTTTTATTGTTACCCATGGTTTAATCTATTAGAAAAGATTTGTTTTAGGAATCCCTCGTAAAATTGTGGCTTTAATTTTATCAAACCGAATTCCATTTGAATGGCATCACTGCAACATTTTATTTTTTTTCATCCTTCCAGCTCACTGTCATTTCCTAGCATACAACTTTAAGTCATCAATGTAAAATAAATGGCTTATTTTCTTTTTGAGATATTTGATAACGACACTTCGTCCTGTGGCAAGATCTCTCAGTTAATGCTATTAGGGACATACAAAATAGTAAGGAGACAAAGAATCACCTTGAAATATTCCTCTGTTGATGTTTATTTCATCAGACTTATAGACGCCATTTAAATGATTGAGTTGAAGTATTGATTTCCATATCAACATACTTTGATGAAATTGATGACGACGGGTGATACCTTGTATATATTTAAAGATTTTAAGATCCAGAAATGGGGTTCACTATCGAATGTTTTACAGTAATCTATCCAGGCAGTACTGAGATTATTCTTTGTATTGAAGCAGTTTTCCAAGATCATCCTATGAATAAGTCATTGGTCTTTACATTCGAAAGAGTCACGTTTTCACCCTTTTTCTTCAAGAGGTAATATACATTTTTTTCTAAGAAGGAATGTCTATTTTGTCAGAATAGATGCCAACAGCTTGTAAGTAGTGGGAAGATATGTAATTGGTCTGTAGTTTTTCTTGGGATATTTGTGCCAAAATTCTTGGATAGATACCCATGCCAGAATTTTAGTGGGATTATTGACTATTTCTGGAAGTTTTTTGGCTAGTTTTTTGTGCTGTATTTAGAGTCAAAAGTTACGAATTTTATCTGTTCCTGGGGATTTCAAGTTGCGTGCTTTTTTTCAGTGCAACATTCAACTCTGTGATTCCCGCCCATGTTTATTCTGGTTTATTTTCATCCGTTCAACCTCTTGCATAATCCATTCTGCTTCTTTGTTATGTTATTTAGGGCAAGCTCATATTTTTCCAGATCTGAATAATCTCTTCCATTGTTAGGGGAGGTGGTCTGTCACTTCAATTTTTGTTTGGCTATTTCTCTGTAAAATGGCATCGGTTTGAAAGATTTCAAATCAAAGATGTCTGTCTGTAAAATATTAATATTTTTTTCAGTGTCTATTTTTTAAGCCTTCAGTTGTATTATTTGCTTTACTTTTTCTTTAGCTGATGGGGCATCATTTTCATTCTTAATTTTGTATTTTCTTTCGACTTTTCTGCTTTTCCTAGTCCTTACATTTGTTCCTCGAGTAATAATAATTCGTTTCTAAGTTGTTCAATTTTTTCTCTCTTTTTCTTTTCCAAGGTGGATCTATACGTCTGTGAAACTGCCTTTTTTCACTTTGATGTTTAATTTTTTAGTTTCTGCTATTGCTGATTCATATACTGTTTTCTTGAGAGTTATATGTATGTCTACTTCATCCAGAATTAATTTGACTGCTGCATTATAGTGTTTAAGAGTTCTGAGGTTAGTCTTTGTTGGTTTTAATTTGGGGAGTTGTTCTCGTTCCTCAGTTTCAATATTTTATATTTGACTTATATGTCTCATGATTTCTTCCTTGGCTTATTGTATAGTATTATTGTTTTCCGTAAAATAATTCGGTTCAGTGTTTTATTGCAAACTTGTGAGCAACTACGATCACGCCTTTCCTTCTGAACTCTTCTGAGAATTCAGCATTTATCTTCACAGTGTTTGGTGTGTATCTCAGATTCTTCATTATGATCTGTAGTTTGTGTGACCTTTACTACTTCTTTAGTTCATTTCTGGTTTCATTCCATGTAATGTTCATTCAACTTTTCTAGTTGCAGTTCTTTTTATTTCTTTAATTTCATCATAAACCCAGTGGTTCTCATGTTGTACCTTCGTACATTGGTTAGTTTATTTTCGTCGATGTAAAGGGTGTTCGAATAATTTGGACCGATTTTAAATGTGAATTAAATTTAAGCGTCTAATGATTTTTTTTTCTTTTTCTTTCAGATTTGGCGGACATTTTGGCGATAACATTTTTCACACATAATTGTCATGGCTTAAATGACATGATCCAATAGAAAAATAAATTTTTACCAATAACACTGATTTATTTACTGCTGATCTTGATTCGCCTTAATGAAACACCCTATATATATATATATATATATATACACGCATATATATATATATATATATATATATATATTCTCATGTATATAAGAATGGTCTATTTTAAGAGTGGTCTATTTTAAATTTACACACACACACACACACACACACACACACACACACACACACACACACACACACATATATATATATATATATATATATATATATATATATATATATTCAAGTATAAAATTGGTGTATACGCAATAAATTACAATAACCAACAAATACTATGCTTAAAAGAGTGCTCAATACAGAGTAGAGCAAATATAATCATTTATTCCAAAATTATATCATAAAAACGATTCAGCAGCATCACTTGATAAGACACCAAAAGTGTTGAAACAAAATGGATATTTTGTAGTGATTTTTTTGTTATAATTTTTATTCAAATGATTATAAATTATATATTATGCCAACATATATATATATATATGTGTGTGTGTGTGTGTGTGTGTGTGTGTGTGTGTGTGTGTGTGTGTGTGTATTTATATATAATAAATTTGGACCGATTTTAAATGTGAATTAAATTTAAATGTCTCATGATCTTTTTTCTTTTTCTTTCAGATTTGGCGGACATTTGGGCGATATTATTTTTCTCAGATAATTGCCATGACTTAAATAACATGATCCAATAGAGAAATAATTAAATTTTCACCAATAACACTGATTTATTTACTGCTGACTTTGATCCGTTTTAATGAAACACCCTTATATATAATCTGTCTTAATGAAACACCTTTTATTTTCTAATTTTTGGTCCAACCTTTTCTTACCAAATGTTATATGCTTGGCGAGAGCTGTTTTTTCTGAGGTTTGTGCAAAGCTTCATAGAATAAAGTCTTAACTAATTTGTACTCTTCACGAGACCCTTTTACCTTTTCTTTCTTTTAAATGAATGGTTTTAGATCTCGTTAGAGAATTCGCAGAGGCATCATTAGGATTATCCCGGCTGTGTGGACCTGAAGATTCATTATATGTGTAGGAGTTTGTTCTCATGGCAGATTTTTCAACCTCAGTTAGGTTCCCTCCTGAGGGACGGGCTCCCTGTTTATCCACTAGAAGAGCCATACTGGACTTTTTGATTTGACTTTTAGTTCTCATATTGTTCCCACGAGTGATGCACTTGTCCAAAAGTCCATCCAAAGTTGCCCCACACATTGTGTAACGGTCTTTTGCAGATAGGGCTCTAAAGCCTGTAGAGGATCGTTCGCGAACTCATAACGCAGCAGCCATTCATTCCTCGGCACTATTAAGACATTGAGCTGCGGGTTATTTTTCGGGGAATTACTTTTATTATTATTATTATTATTATTATTATTGTATAAGATTAAGTGACGTTGCCGACACTGTGGCTTGAAACTAGATCGCTAGTGATTCCATTATTAAGCAGATCAGGTGATCATTAGAAGACGGTTCAAGCAAGGATATACAAGTGATAGAAATTATTAAGAAGATTTGAGATAATCATAATTAAAGAATTCATCGTCTAGAAGAAACCTCAACAGAATGCATTCAGCACTGGACGGCCGTTACGACTTAAATTTTAACATTTGATAGTTTATGTTGTATAAGAGTAAGTGTCGTGATCATAAAGGAAGTGAATAAATATGAAGTAGCGTAAGGATCACTGTTCGCTCTCCTTGTCTCTCCACTATTACTATACGTTCACTCTCTCTACTTTAATACTATACGGATTACAATTCTCTTCTGATCATTATACTATTTGGCAATTACTACTTGAACAAGTATTACTAGTGTCCCCTTACCCATAGGACTTTACACCCACGAGCTACGACTAGTATCTCTAATCCGCTCCATCCAGAGCATTAGAAGCCGGTTCAAGCAAGGATATACAAGTGATAGAAATTATTAGGAAGATTTGAGATAATCATAATTAAGTAATTCATCCTCTAGAAGAAACAAAATGCAGAAATGTTATCGTCTAACATTTGATAGTTTATGTTGTATAAGAGTAACTGTCGTTGCCGACATTGTGGCTTGAAACTAGATCGCCAGTGATTCCATTATTAAGTAGATCACGGGATCATAAAGGAAGTGAATAAACAGGAAGTGACGTGATGACTATACGATCACTGTTCACTCTTCTTGTCTTATCCACTATTGCTATACATTCACTCTTTCCATTCCATTACTATACGGATTATGATTCTCTTCTGATTATGGTAATGAGGCGGAATGGAGTCCCACAGGCGGCAAGTGTGAGCAAAGAAACTGTTGGAGTAGAAGAGGCCGTTGTATTTAGCAAATTTAGCAGTAAAAGAGTGGAGCTTAGATGCCAATCGAGTAGCACGCTTAAATTCATCTAGTACGGGAAACATGGAAAAAAAATACCTCGCCAGGGAAGTAGCCATGAAAAGTGAAGAGGGAAACCACATCACGTCGGTATGAATGTGACTGAAGTCGAGATGCCAGGTCAGGATCGTTTACATTGCAGATTCTTCTTTGGATTTTTTCAGGAACCTCGAAATGAATAGCAGGAGCACGTGACCATATATGGTAAAAGGATTCAATGCACCGACGAATGGTAGATTTTAAATGGGCAAGATGGACTCTGATGAGAAAAAAAAAACCTTCTGGCTATCTATCTATCTATCTATCTTTCTATCTACATCAACATCTATCTATCTATCTATCTATCTATCTATCTATCTATCTATCTATCTATCTATCTTAATCTCTGCATATCTATCTATCTATCTATCTATCTATCGTAATCTCTTCATATCTATCTATCTATCTATCTATCTATCTATCTATCTATCTATCTCAGTCTCTTCACTGTGTATCTATGTATCTATCTACATCAACCTATATTCATCTGCTCATTATCTATCTATCTATCTATCTATCTATCTATCTATCTATCTATCTCAGTCTCTTCATATCTATCTATCTATCTATCTATCTATCTATCTATCTCACTCTGACCATTATATCTATCTATCTATCTATCTATCTATCTATCTATCTATCTATCTACCACTACATATCAATGTTCTTTTATCACTTCTTATCGTAGGTGGTCATGAACATGATGACGTCATTTTCAGTGTGATCTTTCCTGGGAACATGTCACGTATAAACACAAATTTAAAATCATCACGTCTTTTGCAACATATTTTTTTTTTAAATCAATTTCATGGACTCTTTGTCTCTGTTCAATTCATTTTTACCTTTTCATCTTTTTCACTTTTAAAGAAAAAAAATAATTTCAATAGAATCGGCAAGAAAGACAATGAACCATCTAGACAACAGCGACAACAACAAAAAAATAACTATAATAAAAGATTCCCGCCCTTACTTTAA